CGCGTCTGGATTTATGGGCGTATTCTTCAACATCTTGAGCCCGACGTGTATTTTCGCGGCCGCTCTCCTCATGTCAGTCACCAACACATCCAACACTTTGTCCCTTATATCTGATTGTCATGTGTTTGTCCCATAGGATTGAGGGCCTAATGATGGCGCTTCTGGAGGTGCCCTGTTTCTGTACATTCCTCGACTTCGCGTATATGCCGTCCTCTTATTTGGACGCAAAGCCCCATTGGATTAAAGCCGTCCTGTATTTGCTGTGAGTCACCAATTGCTTCAATATTTGCTGAACAATTGATAAACAAATTGTCCAAATAGTTGACTATTTGTTTGAATAGTATTTTCAAGTTATAATTGTGTCACTAATTATCGGTGACTGTAATTAAATGGTTACATATATTTGATCCCATGTTGTGATAGGTTTGCGATAATTCCGCTGTCCTTTTGCATTGGATTCACGACACTCCTGGCCTGTAGTCTAATATTAGTGAGTTGTGGCCTATATTTGGTGATGGCTTTGGGCAGAAAGTGAGTGCAAACGTGTCTTCGGTTTGTTCTTATAGTGAATGACATGAATATTGACTGTATTTCCCAATTCAGAGCGCCTGTCGACCAGATGAAGATGTCGGCCAACAATATCTCTGAGAAGCCGAACGCTGTTCTCGTGAACAACGAAGAGATTCCCAAAGGCACGGACCCTCCGCCGGCGTACAGCCCTCCCCAGCCAAACACCATCAGCTCTAGTCAGACAATGCATTATTAAATCAGAGCTACTCTTCCACACAACTCTTTACGCAAAAACTATTTAATTATTATTTTAATCAAAACTTTTTAGTGCCTTCTATTCCGATATAACTTTTCAATCGTTGTTATCGTAACAATGAAATGGTATTTATTTTTCTAATTTTTCTAATTTATAAACATTTGGAAATTAATTAGAAATTATATTGTATTTGGAAAATGAATATATTCTTGTACTCCAATGATATGAAATTTTGTAAAATATTAATATATAAATATTTTGAATAACTTTTGAATACTGTTCAAAAAATTTAATATACCGGTAAAATGCAAGACTTGTAAGTTATTAATTGAAAATAAATTAATTACACAAATAAAATGTGCATTAAAGTTATTCTTTTAAAAAATTGCATTGAATGTATTTTTAGGAATTAATACTTTTAAAAATATTTTGTTAAAACCCCATTAATATTGTCACTAATCTGTTGATGAAGGCTCTGATTAGTGCCGAAATGTATACTTGAATATCAATTCAGAAACCATTCAAATTTAACACAAAAGTTAAGCTCAAACAAACAGTTAAGTTTTGTACATTATTTAAATCAATAGATTTTGAAAATTTAAAATTTAATTAATTTTGAGTTAATTTCTGACGTGTGAGCAAATAACAGGAAGGGATTAAACGGATTGGCATTGCTTTGAGTGAAAGGACACAAACGACTTAAACGCAAAGTAATGAATCCTTTGGTTAATGGTTTAAAACGGAATTTATCCACTCATTCATCACCCGATGCTCTGCGATGTGTCGATTCCCTGCCGTCTCTCCCCATCTCTCCCTCTCTCTCTCTCTCTCCCTCTCTCTCCTCCAACACATAAAAACATTTCTCTTTCTGAATTCAATTACTTTTTTCGAAGTAATAAACAGTTAAATACTTTTCTCATTCTTTTAGATTAAATTGAATGGAAAATAAGAAAAACAGTCTCAAATGATATCTCTAGCCCTGCGGTCATATTAATTGTGAGCGAATGCATCACTTTTTGGTGAGAGTGAGCTGTGATTTAGGTTGCATTACAGGCATCACATACTCGAGTCCCATACAGATTATGGCACGTCTTGAGTATTACATAAAGCCTTGTTTTAGTGGAGTTAAGAACTAAATCCACACTAAAAACACTTTTTATTTTTATTCTTACATTTGTTCCCATAATCTGGAGAACGTATTCTGTAATTCTCGGCAATTAATGAGTAGTTTTCCTAAAAAAGCAGAGAATTTGTCACTTAATTAATGGTCACATCACTGAGTGATGAGCGAATCGGTCGCTCATTTGGTCGTACATCATATGAGGAAAAAGCGAGTCTTAAGCAATGAGAGGTCTAATAATGGGTCACTTCTTTATAGTGAACAACTTCAGGGCCGGCACTGATCATCATATATGACGCCCTTTGGGCTAATATATAAGACAACACTTTGATATGACTTTCCATTTCTCTTCTGGAGAATCGATAGTTCAGAACAATCTGAAAGTTTAGTTAAAAATGTTTTTGGTATGAAATCCGTTATTCATTAAGTCTTATTTTTCTTAACTTTGCTTTTGTTAACACTTTGTTACAGTTATTAGTGGTGTTGTGTTGTATTGTTTCAATCAATGGTCAGGTGCCCCCTGAAGAGCAACATCCGGCACCTGAACCCTACTCTTTTGCCTATACGTACGTCCAATACATGCAACTATTTGTTGATTATATTAAAGTAACTTCTTATGTCCAGTTCCCCTAACGATGACGGAACCTTCAATGCCAGAGAAGAGACGGGTATTCTTTAAGATTAATTAAAATAGTTCTTAAAAACAGTGGTTTTCAGGCGATGCCGACGGAAGAGTGACTGGATTTTACACATTACTCGGGGCTGACGGACAACAAAGACGTGTTGAATACATCGCCGATGAGAACGGATTCAGGTATGGAATGAGACAATTGTCGACCGTTTGTAACAAATGTTGATTTCAGAGCCAATGTAATCACTAACGAAATCGGAACCGAATCCCAAAATCCAGCCGATGTTCAGTTCATTTCGTCGGCGCCCACCGCCGCTGAACTCAATGCTCAGTGGGAGGCCGCCAATGCTGGAAGACCACGACCCGCTTCCGGACCTGTTCCTCGACCAATTGGTCCCGGAATTGGGGGCCCAGGCATTGTAGGACCAGCTATTGGACCCATTCCACGACCACCTATTGCTGGACCGGGAATTGTAGGTCCCGGACCTGTGGGCCCAGTTCCCAGACCACCCGTTGGAATTAGAGCACCTGTTGGTGCAGCCCAAAGACCTGGACTTATTGCCGCACCTATTGGTCCAATTGGTGGCGGTATTGCTGGCACTCAGGGACTTGCAAGTGTTGGAGCTGGTCCTATTGGTGGCCCACAATTTGGATCTTTCGGTCCTCTGCCCGGACCAGTTGGTCCCCAACCCGGTGTTGTAGGTATTGGAGGAATTCGTGTCGGTGGCGGTCCTATCGGTGGCCCAATAGGTGGTGGACTGGTTAGAGGTCAGGGCATTAATCCTTTGGGCGGAGGAATAGGACTCATTGGTGGTGGTGCTGGAGTGGCTCCCAATGGCTTTGGAGGACAAGTGAACTACGGCTTAATCCCGATTCCGTTAGGAGCCGGCGCTAATCTGCAGCAATTGCAGGGAATCAGAGGATTTGGAATACCTCTCGGAAACGGACAGAATCTGCAGAGTTTGCAGGGATTCCAGGGATTCCAGGGATTTGGAGGACAGGGATTTCGAGGACCAGTGGGTAATGTTCCGTACGGTTACGGCAATGTGCTGTTAGTTCCTGTCGGCGCTGGTCTACAAGGATTGTCAGGTGTGTCTAATGTAGGGGCCGGTCCTCAGCAGCCAATTGTGGCCGA